CTTATCAATAATAAAGCCATAAAGACCCACTTTTCCAAACACATGAGAATCATGCCATGTAAGGTGCCTTAATACAACCAAGTAATGAAATGTGTCTTCAGTCTTTCTGGTAAGAAACAGATGTTTCGTCCCCTGAGAGTTTTCAATTTGGTGTTAACATGGCAATGTTGTGTTTGTTTAAGAGCAATTTAAGTATTTTTATATTTAAATGCTCACTGAAATGTCAAAATCTATCAAGCCAGAACATTTGTTTCCCAGTTAGTTATTCCCTGATGCCAACTAAAATGGAACACTAGGAAAACTAGTGATGAGATCTATTTTAGAGCTTAGTCTAGACCCCAAACTAGTGTATGTTCACTTCTGCAGATCAGAGGATATAAAGCCAAAGAGCCTGCATCTCCAGGGGAAAGGGTAGAAAACTAACAGAAACCCCAACCCTTTTATTTTTAACATAAAATCAGTGATGAACTATCATTTTTGGTGAAGTATAAAAATGCAGATATTCTCCATCTCCTCTTGTGCCTATTTGCTGTGCAGAGCTGGGCATCCGTGGCAGCTCCTACCATGCCTGCTTTCATGGTCCTCAGCAGGAACAGGAGGGAATCCAGCCAAAAATGCTGGCCCCAGATGGAGGTGTTGCAGTGTGGCTGATAGAGGCACAGGCACAGGCCCACCCTGCCAGGCACAAGAGAGCAGCAGGGCAGGGCAGGTAACGTTGCGTGTACCCACACACAACTGCCCCTGCACTTACCCACTTTCTGAAAGACCCAGTGGTGCTGGGGAGTGTTGCAGGGCATGAGTGGTGACAGGGCCCATCACAGATGTTTCCTCTGGGTGACAGCTTCTTCCCAGACTCATCCTGCCCAGGACACCAGGATGTCAGTAAGGTGCAGGTCATGTTTGGTGACTACAGGCTGCAGGTGACTTTTTGATTCCTGAAGACAGGCTCCTCATCTCTCAAATCCTCAAGCAGGGAGAGCTGTGAAATAGAAGCTTCACCTACAAGCAGTTTTTAGAAAGCAACAAAAGGGAAAGACTGTTTCTCCATCTGATCTGCGTTGCTTTGCTTCTCCAACTACCTCATTTTTATTTATGGCCACAGTATTGATGTGTTGTTTTCAGATATGTCCAATGTCCCCCTCAGCAGGGCTGTGGGCACGATGCCTATGCAGAGGCAGCAGGCCCTCAGCCTCCTCCCAGAGGAAGGCAGCCAGGGAGGCTCTGGCCAGCCCAGGGGCTGGCAGGCAGGAGCCAGCAGCAGCCTGTGAGTGCCTGGGGCAGGCAGCTGGCAGCCAGCAGCCATGGCTGCAGGGAGCAGGACCTATCGGCCTTGGTCTCCTGCAGCAATTCTCTGCATTATTCAAACCCAAGCACACGGTCAAAAGAGAAAGAGTTTTATCAGCTGGCTGGATTGATCTTTCTGGTTTAAGAAACAGTTTTTTTAAGTCAAGATCATTACAAAGCCTCATTGTTTCAGGGATAAAAAGTCTCCTAGGTTTCTGTCCAGTCCCTTCAGAGAAAAGATAAGGCAGGTCACCTCACTGCTCCCTTTGCCTTGGGCACAGTTGTAACTCCCTCCTGAGGGCTGGGAAAGCTGCAGGTTCCTGAGGCAAAAGCTCTTGGAGAAATGCTGGGGAAGGCATGCAAGGGAACTTTCAGAGGCCACTGTGCTCCCCACACCTGGCAGTGCCATTGGAATGGAGCCATCAAATCCTCCTTGTGAGCCTGCCCACCTGGTGATTTTCAGAAGCAATGACCTCATCACTGACGTTTTGCCACACAGGGCTGTGCTTCTTGATACCTAACATCCAAAGCTGTCATTTTCTTTTCCTCAAAAGCCACATCTTTGGAAACTTCCACATGACCAGGACAGTGGATGACATACTATTGTCTGGTATTCATATACCCATTGCTCAACAGTAGGAACAACATCTTCTTTGTAAAGCATCCTCAGGGATGAAATGTTACTCTAAAATGCAGGTATGGGTAGAAGTAGAGCCAAAGTGTTATTACTTGGAAAAAAGAAAAGGCTGAATCAGAACCCAAATTTAAAAACAATAAAGAAATCAGTTTGTGTAGAAAGCATTTTTATTCTGAAAAACATTTTTTTCAAATTTTTGAAATACATGTAAAGTACAACATAGAATTATGTCTGCAAGTCAGTTTATGCATGTCATGCTAGTTATTTACATGTAGATATATACAGAGTGCAGATAATTATTGAAACCACACTACAAAATAAACAGAGAGTTCAATAAGATAATTTAGTAGGGCTTTATTAAATATATAGTTATTGATTGTATATACTTTCCTATTAAAATACCATATAGCATCTAAAGTAACCCCTATAAACTCTAATACCTCCAAAGTTGTCATAAATATGATTGAAAACTGAAACTATCTATGTGCCCTGCTCAGCTGCTTTGCCCTTTGCTCCAACAGAAACTCTTGCAGAGATAATGGTGCTATCTTTAGTGCCAGAACTTTGATGACAATTCACGATAAAAAAATTGCAGAAAGCTCAGATGCAAAATAGCTTTCAGCTGAGGCATCCAAGGATTGAAGAACCATGCTCTATACTTAAGAAAACAAGGATAATCCAATGTCTTATTAAATACTGCCACACACAGGACAATTAAAAAACGATATGATTCTCAGTGACTAAATTAATTTCGATACCGAGCACCTTATTAAAACAAAATAAAGCAAACTCCCAAAGCCCATGCAAAATCTTAACCAAAAAAAAAGACCTCCCAATGGGTACAGGTACAGCCTGATTGACAGTCTGACTTTAGCACGAGCAGGAACTGGAAGGGCTGCTGCAGCAGCAGCTGTCAGGGCTCTGTGACCAGGAAGAGAGAGACTAGCGTTGCCTACAGCTTGATCTCTGGTTACTAAGTGATTCATACAGGGCATTCTGCTGAAGGAAAGGACAGTGTATCATAGATTATCCCATTTTCAGAATATTCCATCTTCATTCTGAGGGCTTCTTGCCAACAGACCCTCACTATAAATTGTCAAAGGTCTGTCTTTGACTTCACTAGAGCTTTGAGAGTTTCCATCAGTGGAGAAGATCCACCCCAGTCTGGAGGATGTGTTCCCCTACTGGGATTTCTCTTCTTGCTGCTCAATCCAAAATTGCACAAACTTCTGCTTTAAGAAAAGGAGTATAAAGAACAATGTGCTTTTTAGTTTCATTATTTATTCTGATGCAATCTTATTAAGTAGAAAATAGGTAAGGGGAGAAAAGTTAACAAAAAAAAATCCAATTATTGCCATACAGTACTTTTTTTTGGTTGTAATAATTGTTCTGAATTGCAGAATTTTGCAACTTTTCCTCTACTATCATGTCTTTCCTAAAGGCATATTACAATTCAATCCAATTACAGTCAAAGTATAGAGGTTAGCACCAGAAAATATATAAAAAGAAAATAAGTTACTATTACTATCATAGAATAGCACTGGTCAGCAAATCTGTGCATTTTTTTTCCTGGAAATAATTGTACAATGAACATTATAGATTAGTTAGGGAAATAAGTGATAGCTATGGTTTAATTTAAGAGTTTTGTTACATATAAATCTAAATGCCAAAATATGGCAAGGACATTTTAATACTGAACAATTTAATACAAGGAATTACAAAAAAATTAATCTTTATAATAATTAATAAAAAGTGTGACTATAAAATATTAATATACTTTACATATTTATCATACAATATATCAGTCCTTCACACTATTAATTTGATTCATGTTGTGCTGCAACATGTATCAAAAGGTTTGACAAAGAAAAAAACGACTAATTATTTGTTGTTATATGTTGTGGGTACAGACATTATATCCACAAGACAAACAGCAATCACAATGTGTCATTACCTTGAGTTCTACAGTCAATTTTGGAAAAAAACCTGCTGTATCCTTTTAGGAAATATAAGAATAATTATTAAAAAAAAATTGAAACCTTTCCTTGTACAGTAAATCTAACTTTCATAAAAAACATTAAATCAATACTATGAACTAATTTAGTTCAGATTGCCTAATTTTCTGGTAAGGCACTATCAAGATATTATATCTTCATTTAAATGCTATATGGATTTCTGATTCTTTGCTATTATCAGAAAGGATTTTTGGTCAGGCCCGAGAGTGTCATCATTAGAGAAGCTTTGGTGCTGCCCTCACCCCCATTTCAGTCTTTGCACCCTACTTACTTAACTTTCTGGTTCACTGTACAGCTTCTTGCAGAGATAAACTCCCTTTTGAAAGTCAGGGAAGAGCTAGGCCACCCGAAAAACAGCAGTGAGATTATACAGAAAGTGCGACTACATGTTGCAAAGCAAAGTAAGAAAAAACACAGAAGATTTCAAAAAACGAAAACCCCTACTCCTGGAGAGTGAGTAAGTAACAATGGGCATGACCTTTTTCAGGTGGAAATGTTATTTTTAAGACAAACTACTTAAAAATTATGGTTTGTTCAGAAGAAGGGCCTGAAAAAGCTGCAGAGTCTTAGGGAGGAAAATACAGATTTGTTTTGTGAGCAGCACATGAATGGAATCCAGTTTCTTATGAAGTTGTATTCTGCAATCCAAATTTGTGTCTAATGTGAGATGAATGCATCAGAACAGATGAAACACTTCTCCCACACAGGGATTCCTCCAAGTCTTTCTACAACCTTTGCCTCAGCACTTGCAGGTTCTTCTTGCTGAATCTCTAACTCAGCTTTGCATTTTTACAAAATGTTTTATGAACTTGGCATCTTTGAGTCCTATAGCTTGCACCCAGATCAGCTGGTTTCAAAACATAATATTGGAAAGTTGTGAGACATATACAGGGGATGTGAAATTACCTAAGCTTAGGGGTTTATTTCTGCTTACTTTTAAATAAGGCTAGAACAAAGTAAGTAGGAGCGAACATTTTCTATTTCACCATTCTACAAGATTTCACAACAATTAAATTGCCTCTGAGAGGTATGAGGGGTCATCAAAGAATGTTTAATAGAGGATGGCCAGTGACTCCTGCAATAGACAAAAGTAGGGATTTTTTCCCCAGACCACTGCATTTCTCTGCCTGTGTGAGATGTGTTGGATCTCCAGCCTCTGCTCAAAGCTCTGCTTCTCTTTCTGCTCCTTTTTGCCTGCAGCAGCGCTTCTAAGAAGGTCACCAGAGGTAAGCCTTTTGACAGCCTGCAGTTTTTCAATTGTGAAATACAGCAGAAGAACACCCAAAACCATGTTCATCTTCTCAGGGCAATGGCAGTTTCAAGCATAGCTTACACTAAGAAAACTTGGCTTGCCTTAAAACAAAAAACACTCAATCTGGTTCGAAAAGACCTTCACTGTCAGTGACATCTAAAGCAACCCTTCATCACAATGCACTGGGCACAGTCTGGACTTAAGGTGAAGTGAAACATGGTTTGGGACTAATGAAACTGTTTAGGGTGACTCAAGTCACTCAGTCACTAATTCAAGGGATCTGTCCTCAACTGCCTGCAGTCAGCCTTGCCCAGACTCCCGCTCTAAAAAGTTAGACCATTTTTGGAAGGATGCTCTTTGGGCCTCTCTCCTTCCCTGATCACCACTTGATACTTGAATTAATGAGGAAAAGGATCCTGCAGGCTTCTGCCACTGGCCTGAATTCTAACAATTGCTCTGAAGAAATCATGCACTACAATATATATAAGTATATATATATACTTATAAGTAAAGAATGTTCTGATGTGCTTCTTTATGTTGGCAATAAATTTGATTTTCCAATTTAAACAAGAAAAAGGCTATGGAAGGAAAAAAGAAGCAGTTAAAAAATTGTGGATGTTTTTAGTCCTAACAGAAGTTCTTCCTTGAATTTTCTGGAAGTAGTGTACAATTTAGAAATCAGCAGAAGATTTGTATGATGATTTCTGCTCCTGAAGAAAGAACTAAGCCTGGACAGGTCTATGAAACTAAGCCTAGATGGTTTTATGAAACAGTAAATTCTCCTGGAAGCACTAATGTTGAAGAAATACTAATATAAAGGTTAAATATCCTCGTTTTCAATCAGGCATGGTAAGCAGCCAAGCAAGCAATGCATGTTTTCCCTCAAGGCATACAAGAAAGATGCTCAGACTGAGAAAGCTGCTTAATGTTTCTGGGATTTCTCTGACTTTGTTTTTTTTTTTTTCTCTTCAGTTCTACCAGAATCAAACAACTGGTCTTTACACCACATTTAAAAAGTAAGGATTTTTTATTCTGTGGAAGGAGAATTGTTTGTCAAATATTTTAGTAGAAGTCAGGAGAAATAATACTAAATAATACTAAATTTTATTGCTACATAGAGGTTTCAGCATTCATAGCTTATAAAATTGGCTAGTTCACAGGCCACTTGTCTTATTTGCAATGAAAAAAGTTGGAAAAAGAATCAGTTACAATTTATCTCAGGTTTCAAAACATACTGCTGTTTTTCACTGCTCACTTCCCAAGACTTCCAGTCAGTCCAGATTCAGCATCTCCTTGTTTTCTACAGATGTTGTTTTGGGATACACTGAGAATACCTTCCAGATGATGGGTATCATTGAAATAAAAGTTGTTAATATTATTTATACTGATATAGAAAGAAAGAAATAAATTTAAGAAGTATTTGAACGAAACATTCATTAAACACATCACATTTTGAATGAGCACTTACTGCTCAGGCAGTGTATAAACTGACATTATCAGCTGCATAAATCCTCTACCATATTGTAATCTCAATGACTAACAGAAGTTCAAACTTCTAATTTACAGAAAACTCATTTCTTATTTGAAATGATTAGGACTAATTTTAGAATCAAGTTTTCTAATGGAGAATTCCGATCACAATAGAAGCAGTACTTACATTATGAAAAAATCCATGATTTTCCATATTAAAAAACAGAGATTGCGAGAGATGTCATAGAGCGCATTGCCTCTAAATTTCACACTTCTGTGAGCAACATCCTTGGACCTGAAAGTCTGCAGCTAAACAGCAACTTTTTTTTATTTTATTGTTCTAGTGTCCCTTACCCATAAAAGAAGAACAGAACAACCTTTTGCAAACAATGGAAGTTATTTAAGCAGAGTACCGTCTTCAGTACAGAAACTGTTAACTGTTTCATTACATTCTGTTCCATTGACAGGGAGCTGTGTAACCTGCAGCTGCAGCATCTGAAGGAAATCTACCGCTCAGCTAAGGGGCTGATCCCATATCTGTGTCAGATAAAAATCATAGTGCTTATTATTTGTTACCATGGATACCATGAAGATATTGCTGTCCACTAAAGATTACTAGAGGAAGACAACATAATTCTCAGGAACTAGTCCTGTTTTGCCTTCATAAGTTGCCTTTAACCATCCTGGTTCCACTGATGGATACACTACAAAAGAAAACACATAACTAATTAGCACTGTTAAAAAATCATATACATTGTTCATATATTTATTTATATAGTATTTATTCAAGAGCAATTGAAAAATCAGGGTAAAACCTGAGACCTGAAAATGGAATTATGCTCTCATTTTGTGGATACAGTTCAGGTTTTTTATAGGTTTTTTTTTAAATATATAAGTCAATCTAAAAGATATCTTACCATTGGAAAATATTGCCCCCTGTGGGAAAGACAGCTCATGACTATGCTCAGCCTTACAGGAATACATGGCTTTTGCTTGCCTGAAAGGAAAAAAATATAGGTTTGCAATAAATCAGCTAACGACAAAAAATGTATGAAGAAATTAAATTAAAACCTGGGAAATATAGAAATAAGCAACTGCACAAATGATAATGACCAGTTACACAGCAGCTCAGAAGAGCAGAATTATACAATAACTTCAAGCTTACTGGAGTTAGCAAGCATGTTATTGCAGAAAAGGGACTTAGATTTACTACTTAGATTTAAACAGGAATATAATTTGGAACTTTTAAAATGAAGTTGTCATTCAAATGAACTGAGCATACTCTTTAAAGCAAGTCATGCACTACCTGGAGACAAAAAGTGATCATCAAGTCATTAAAGGTCTAAAAACATAGCTTGTGAGAAACTATTGCTGATTGGTCAACAGAGCAAAATATTACATAGAAGGTAAATGTGAGACAAAAAGGAGTGATGATTCTGTTCCAAAGAAGAAGGACAGAAAAAGTCGCCTCTTGGCTTCTAGCATTATAATTCTGCAAAGTACAAAATGAGGGTTTGAAGATGAAGATGGAAATTAGGAGTTCTCTCTAGATTCCTGCACTTTACCTAGTACCTTTAACTTATACACTCAGAACAATTTTATATGAGCCACCAGTTTGTCTGAATTTCTTTAAACCCACATTATATCAAGTGAAGATGAACTTGTTGATTATTTCACTTTTCTAAGATGTGATGGCAAGTTGACCTAATATGTGTCCTGTGGTGAAGTTTAATATTTACTTCATACTTTTGAAGAGTGTGTATATGCAATTGACATGTAATCTATCATGTATTTCTACCAAAATAGTGAGATAACAGAGTTGTAAGTTAGATTAATTAACAGTGCCACATCATAAGCATTAGCATTATTCAGCTGAATCTTTAAAAGTGTATAACAGTGGATGAACATCCAAAGTTTGAATGTGTGAGCTTTCCAGAAGTGATTTCTCCCTTTGAAGAAAAAGTTTTTCTATTGATTCTCTGAAACAGATTTATGACTGGACTAAGTGGTATATTTTGCTTTTGTCTTAAGCAAGCAAATGACTTGTCAAGGATTACATTCTCAGGACGAGATTTTCAGAGGAGATCAAACATTTTGAGTTGGGCCCATGATATCCAAGGGCAGCTTATTTTCAGCATGCTGGAAACATTTCTAATTTTTATTACTATCATTCTGATTACATCCCCAGAGCTAACTAGAACAAGATGAGCACTGGATCCTTGTTTGTCCCTTTTCTTAAATGTTAGCTTGCTCCCTGGCTGGTGTAGACTGCTCTAAGTAGCACTTTTTCAAGACACCTTCTTTGGTGCCTGTTATGAATAACTTGCCATCTACAGTCAACAAGATGGGTGTGAAGAGTCATTACTCTCCATAATTATACATATTTATACATAATAATCTACATAATATAGACTAAAATATACAGAGGGAAATTAGATGACTTTTACTGAAGGTCACACATAAACTAGACCTGAATTATTTAATGTCTTTTTTCCTCAAAGTCAACAAAGAACCCTACAGATGTTCTAATTATCCTGACTCAAATCTGTAACACTATGTTGAAACAGCTACTGCCTGTTTGTGGTGGGTTGGCCCTGGCATGACCTCTTGTCATGCAAACCCAATACATCTGTGTGGCATAATCATGAATTTTACACATATAAAACAGTAGAGTAACCGTTAACAATAATTACAGTTGCAATGAACATAAGGTAATAGGTAGTAAATTTACTAAAGCACGGGGGGTGATTTCAAACCTGAATAACTTGACTATCAAGCCAGGTGCCCATGTTAAGAATGGGACACCCGAGTAATACTGTTTCAGGCAATACTTAAATGTGAGGTAGAATTATTTAAGTTAATCTTGAAATATGACATTGTTTTTATTGCCCTTAGAAGTTGTTAAGAAAATTAATGCAATTTTCTTCTATATTGTCTAATGTCTACTAAACTATTCTGTTTTCAACTTCCAATTTTACCTGATCCAAGTATGTTTAACTTCAAAGTAAAAACAAGATAAGAAAACATGGACTCTGTCTTTATAGTCCTCCGTTCTGAAAAGAGAAAGCTTTTCAGCATTTGACATTTAGACAGACACAGAAACAAAAGAAGTCAGTTGCCAAAAGCTAATGAATTACAGGATTCTTCCCATTACCTTGCTCCTGATGCTGAGTAATTACAGCCCAACGTTATCTACAGCCATCTGTGATGGTATAATGAGGATTTAAGAATATTTACTCATAATTCTGGAGCAATTTTCAAGCCACTGGTTATTGTCTTCACACTTGATTTTAGATTATTTAGGTTCTCATACTAGTTATTACTCACTTCAACCCTCTGCAGCTAGAAAAAATGACCATGAAAAGGGCTTGCAGGTTCTTGGGCATTTTGTTTGTAATTACGAAAACAGACATTCTTACTTATAGTGTTAATGTCGTCCTCCCCAAAACAAGGCTGTTTGTTAAAAAGCATGTGATAACATCACCATCATCTATTATAGTTCTCTTAAGATGATGTTAATAATATGAGAAGAGTGTGATTCATGTTGTTTAGGGCAGAGAAAAAAAAAAAACAATTTCAGAAAATGTTATTCACATTTCCTAGAAGTTCCTTCTTTCCATGACTTTATCAGATAGACTCCAGATAAGAAAAATGCATTTTCCATTCCTTACTTTCTGTGACATTTGTTTTGAGCCCATAATGATAAACATACTAGCAGTCAAAGGATCCGTACTCATTAAATTATAAATTCTTTTGCTTGATTACATGCAGTCAACAATACCTGAGGCCCTAATAATAATAATAGTATTAAGAACTATTTCAAAATATATAAACAAGCTTTAAAACTATGCTCCTGTCCTAATGAGTTTTTAGTCTAGCAAGACAACGCCAGAAGAGAAATGAATGAGGGAACACATATGAATCTCTCTCAGATGAGTCGCCAGTTAATATTATCCTACAGGAAGAAGAAAGGTTTATAGAGACCTGGAGACGGCACACTTACAACCAAGTTTGAGCAGAAAGCACTGGTCTGGCCTGGGCAAGGCCTTCCAGACGCTTAACTATAGCATGAAAATAAAAACAGAAGAATGATTGGAAAAGGATATTTAATCATATGTTTGCGAGGGGAGCATGGGTCTAGAGGGCTTCATAATGTCAGTCTAGTCCTACTGAAGTCCCATCCTGGCACCTAGAGATCCTGCTGAAGAGCAGAGCCATTCACTGTCACCTACTCCTCCTTCTCATTTTTCTAATGAAAATTCTTCTTCTTATAATGCGGTTTCTTACTTCAGGAGACTTATCTTTCTGTGTACCTCTAAATCCAAGTTAGGAAAATGTAGAGTCAGGAATTATGTGCTGGTGCATTTCTGTACAGAAGCTGCAATAAAGAGACCTCAGGCCTGACTAAGACTGTTATATAACTGCAATATTTTTGGAAATAGTAAGGAAACTCATTCACCTCTTTCAAGTGCATACTAGATTAGCAATGGAGATTGGTCCCAGTGTACACAGTATCTTAATACCACAGTGAGGGAGACTGATGTATAATAAACTTCAAGTCAGGAGGGAAGAAATAGGAAGACTGAGAAGTCAAATTAACTCTAGAATTGGAAAAAGAGAGCATAGGCTGGACATTGTCTAACATTTTGTGTTTCCCTGTCCAATCCTAACACTTGTACTGTGGTCTCTTATTGTCTTTCTGACTAAAAAAAAATCTGTAGTGTAGGGCATATACTCATGCAATAGAAGGAGAGAAAACAGGACACACACACTCATAATAGAGCTATTGCATTATACAAAGCCAGAAAAGAGGGTTGCAAAAACTGCTTGGGAGAAGGAATTAAGTAGGACTCAGCCACTGTGGTGGTAATGCATCAAGTGCAAAATTACCTGCTGGAATACAGAAAACAATGTGAGACTGCAAAGCCATATAGGTACTTTTGATCTGTCTACTGTACAAATGACCACAACAGGCAAAAGATGTTTCAAGCAGCAATGAAGCTACTTACATTCTATAATGCATAGGTAAGCACTGTCTCAAAATTTCTAGTTATTTTAGCAGGGTAAATTACCCCTGCATGGAGTCCAACACTACCTTGACTTGAATATTTCTGTTATCAAACCAGGTAGCTTAAAAATACATTGTCTTACGCTCTGCCCTGCATATACTCGTTGGATAGTAGTTATGAACAAAGGAGACCTTTCTACTGGGTGGATCAAGATGTAATTACCACAATTTCTACATACTTCATAGAAAAAAAAAACCAACTAAAAAAAGACTAGCCCAAGGTTTTAAATCAGCCTTCATAACAAGCAGGTAATAAAAGCTGGCTCTGAATTGCAAAATCATACTCAGACTTATGCAGGACTGTAAGAACAGCTGAGCTACTTCTGATTTCTTCCTTATCTTGCCTGCTGACCTCTCATTTTCTATTCTCCTTGCTACTGTGGTTCTTTTATCCTCTTAGGAAGGCTTAAGTAGAGGAGCTATTCAGCCTTTCAGTATTTTTGGCTTTGTTAGCTGCTCTCCATATCCATTATCAAATGCTGCATTTTTCCTTTGTCAGATTTTTGCTTCTTACACGCTTTTTATATACAGATACAGGTGGCACACGCTCTGAGGGAACAACAGGGGAGAGCTTGCAAGAAGGAAGTAATATAAAGTAAAAGAAGAAACAGTGCTGGAGGTGAAATGATGCAGGACTGGTGAAGCAGTCATTGCTTTTGGCTTAAGGTACTGGCTTAAGAGCATTCCAGTCCCTTCATTTATACCTTTCTTCCTTAAATTATCGCTCTGCTCTTTTCATATGCCTTGCCTCCCCTGCCACCCTCTTTTTTGGTCATCTTAGAGTTCACGTACTCCACAAAATAAGAAAGCTGCTTTTCTCACAAAATCTATGGGCCTTTCTCTCCCCTGCTGGTTCTGTCAGAGGACAGCCACATTCCACGGCCACACATCTCAGCATGTTGGTATCTTCCTTTATCTATGCTACTTTAGGTTACTACCTTTGAATTCATGGATTGACATCTTGTTTTCATTCCTCAACAGTTCCAAAAATGTATCAGTGTAACAGTTCCTTGATGTATCAGTGAGCAAAGTGGTGAACAAAAACCTGCGATCTGTCTCAAAGAACTTGAAAAGCAGGGACAGTGAAAAAAGAGAGACGGCCTTTTTCCCATATCCATTTAATGGATTATCTGCTTTAATCTATTAATTGTGAGGTAGTAATGTACAGAAGATACTGCTTCCTAGACAAACACTTATCAGAACATTCTAAACACCTTAAATATAAGAATGAATCAAATCCAACAAATAAATGTGAACCTTTGAAGCCAATACAGAAAGGATTTTACAGAATGTTAAATGGTATGAAGCGCTTACCGTCCTGAAGAAACTTGTTTAAGTGAACCAGCACTTTCAAACAACTGTGCTCTTGCAGCCACTCTGAAAATAAAAGCATCACCTTGCTTTATACTTCATCCATTAATTAAATACACAAACTATTTTCACTTTTAACCATCCAAAGACATAGCCATATTTTAAAAAATTGTTTTAATTATTCACTTATAGAAAGAGAGGAAATTCAAAAACTGAATTTACATCCCTATTCAGCAGAATTCTTAAGGGCATAACCTATTTGGGGCTGCTGACTTCCCCATGCTCTAGCGCCTTGCTGAGTCACCAATGGAAATCTAAACATCCTATGTTTATATTGGAAATGCTTTTATTGACAGTCTGTCACTACCATGCTGGAACTCTAAGCTGTGCAGGATTCTCTGCTTAAGTAAGACACAACAGTCTGTTAAATGACTACTATGATCCCTTTCAGTTTAAAATTGGAGAGACTGAATGATGTCCTGCAGTATTTGGAGAATTTCTTGGTGCTCTGCAGGTCTGGAAATCACTTGTTCATGAGGACAGAGATATCCAGGTCAAAGTCAGAATTACAGCAGAGACTTTGAAGTCTTCTAAAAGCACTGAGAAACATTGTTAACCCAAACCTCAACAAACTAAATTATAACCTGTATTGCTCAGAACTATCCTCCTTTCAGCATAAACCTCCCCCCCACCAAACCCCAACTGTTAGAAATCAACTATTTAACATGCAGATATTGAAGAAATTTCAGAGCAGATTTTTTTTTAATTATCCTTCCTCTAATTTTAGACTTATATAAATAAAATCTGATGGTCTTCTTGATGTAACAGCATGGACAGTAAGTAGCATTTCTGCTCCTTGAAACATTAAAGAGAGCCAGAGATAATAATATTAATCACTTTCCAAAGATAAATTTCCACCTTATCTGTAGTCTAACTAAGTCAACAGGAATCTTTCAACTGACTTCAACAGATTTTGTGCCATCTCCTTTGTTTACAATTTTAACAAAACTAGATAACTAATTCACAAATACAGCAATATTAAAATCAAGTATTCATGGATGCTTTTTCAACTACTTATGTACCTCTCTGGAATCACTTTCTAGTAGACAACACTGTAACAACACAAATCTCCAAAGGGCCATAATGACTTACACAGATCCAGGTCTTTGATAGCCATTACTCGATGCAGTATCTAATCTTAATCTTCTGCACATTTTGGGAGGCAAATCAGGGTTTGGAGGAGCCTTTAACGTATCTTTGGTATCTGTTGAAGATAAGCTCTGTATAGATCCACTGCAACTTTTGTTACCTAAATAAAACAATCAAATTATAGGGAATATTAAAGCTAATCTGAAATTGTTTTACAACACATGTAACATGCAAAGCAAAGGTTTTGCTGTTGATTTTTTCTTTTTTTTTAGGAGCCAAAACAGGTATAGAAAGTACTTACTAAGAGAGAAGAAACAGCCTTTCAGGCACTAAGCCAGGGGAGAAGAACCAACAGCAAGAATGAAGAAATGACATTAAAATGGAGAGGGCTAAAAAATTACATTACAATTAAATGGCTAGATAGAACAATCACTAAAAAGTGACAATAAACAGATTTATAAAGTAGTACACTGCGTAAAATTGTAGAAAAAAATCATGTAGTAAGGGTTCTCAGGAAGTCATCTGATCAGGAAGTCATCTGATCAAAGCAGCATCCACCATGAAATCAAACCACATTAATTTGTAGAATTAATATTTCAGTATGCAGAGAAGCTTTATGCAGTTTAAAAAACATACTTAGGAATAAATGACTATGACTTGCTTAAAACAATTCCTACTGTAACTTGATAAAACAAATCTATAGGTGTACAGACTGCACTGCACACAAAAGAAGACCTTTCAATGAAAAGGCATGGTCCCATGTATTCTTTAAGGTGGACTGCTGCCTTTTTTTGCTTATATGTTCTACAAGACAAGAAATGCATCTGCTTCTCTCTTTCTTTATTCCAAAGAACAACTGATGCTTAAAAATGCTTTAAAAGCTGTCATAATATAAAAAGATCCCAAAGTATAAGAACAATATCTATATTATTTATATTGCTAATTTACCGTATTATTCTATATCATAAATTATAACTTATAGATGAACCATAGAAGGCTAGAGAGTGATCTAAATTGTGAGAAACATATCTTTTAAGCTGTGTGAACTGTGCAGGTAACAAGCAATGGAAATATGTTCTATCCATTTGAAAACTGAAAGAACATACTACAAAACCTAAAAAAAATAAAAATATTAATGAGTATAATTAGCCTTCAGATTCATCTCTTGTTTTCTGATGCATCAGTTAACACTGAAGCGCTAAAAGACCTTGGAAGTTACCTTCAGTTGATGGAATTGATCTAAGGGAAGATGCTGAAGACCTTTTCAGCCCAGACAGACTGTAGGAACTCTTTTTGGTCAGGTCTGTTGGTGGAGAGGCATTCTCTGGTCCAGTGACAGAAGCTACACTTTGGCAGTCTGACTCCACATCTGTTTTGGTTGCATCCTCCTTTGATGAGGATTCTGGACTTGTAGTCCACAGGCCTGAACTTTTCTGGCCATTAGAAGAAGCAGGAGAGGCAATCCATGGAATCCCTCCTGATTTCTCCCTTGGCTGGGAGGGTGTACATTTGGTGGTGCTGTTCTGCTCAGAGGAGTGAGAAGAGAGAGATTCAATGCTGCCCATGGGAGTGCTGTCTGGGCTACTGCTGTACGAGTCACCTAGGGAGGACAGAGGGGAGGGGGGAAAGAGAGAAAAAAATAATTTACATTTTCTAATCATGTGCATTTTTCTTATGTCACCTTTAGCTCTTTTGTACCTTGTCATCAAATTCATTAACCTGTGGTTTCCTGCAGAAGGAAAACAACTCATTTATTTATTTACAACTTGAAGACTCATCTTGTTCCTTTAGAGACCATTAGTACCTTGAAAATTGCATGATTGGCTAATGCATTTTTTTGCCAGATGCATTTTCTATAATTTTCTATAATTCCCTACCATTTGAAATCTGTCTCTTTTCTCATGCCATACAGATTTCCTTTATTTCCTGCAATACAGTTGTGTCCATGTTTCATTTAAATGATGACTTAAAACCATCTAGTATTTCAGAAATTGCAATTGCCAGAACCAAGGCTGTCTCTTGTCTGATATTGTGATATTTGGCAAGAAGAGTACCTCTGCTTCTGCTTCAGCCTTCCAGACACAAGTAAGATCTTAACTGGAACTTGCTTACATAAGTGTTGAGTTTGAGCTAATAAGTGAAGCACAAGTGGAGAGTTCTTGGATCAGACCTAGTGGCAATCAAATCGCCAGCACGAGATGTGTCTGAATGAAGAATCATAGAAATCATAGAATCATTTAGGTTGGAAAAGACCTCCAAGATCATTGAATCCAACCTTTGACAGAACACCACCATATCAAGTAAACCATAGCACCAAGTGCCACATCAAGTTGTTTCTTGAACGCTTCCAGGAATGGCAACTCCACCACTTCCCTGGGCAGTCCTTTCAGTGAGGAAATTCTTCCAGATCTCCAACCTGAATGTTCCCATGCACAGTCTGAAGAAGCATGAGCTTGCATATGGTTTGCAAAATACTTGCAGAGAAATGTCCCTTTTTAATGCTAATATTCATTCATTGTAGTTACACAGTGAAAAAATGCCTGAAACTTGACCAGTTGGTCCTCTGTCGAGTATAACTGTTCCTTTGTAACTTCTTCCTTGGGATCCCATGCCATTCACACTAGTAATCCATGGGTAGGGAGCTATTGATCTCATGTAGTATTAAAACTCTCACTGGCATGAAACTTGTAACACAGACCTATGGAAAATGCAGCACCTGTGCAAGAATATATTAAGGACACATTTCCTAAAATTGCAGACTTCAGAATTACTACAGATCTTCAAGAACAGATACACCTTAACTGTGGATTAACTTACTGAACCAGTTTCATGTAAATCTTCTCGAGGAGCCAAGGGACACCTAAGTACTTTAGGAAGTCTGTTGCAGTAGTGGAACTGTTAGCAACTTAAGCTTTTATAAAGTTTCAATACTCCTTACTGGCACGACCAGTAAGTAAAAAAGTAGTGGTCCATTAGATGAAAATGAATGAAATGAAACTTTTTAATAGTCACATCTACATAAAAGTGAATAAGCATTCTAAGCATCAATTGATTATAGACATAACTCCCTGCTGTTAAACAGTAAGCCATACGATATGTACACTGCTTCTTCCAGGAATATTAGAGTTTGTTTCTATTCCAGAAAACCTAATAAAGTTTCACTGGTTTTGGCAACCTAGGCAGTGGCTGACTTTGAACCAAGGGCCACAGTTTCATACATGTGAAAATAGCCAAGTGATGGGTTTGGTCTCCTAACCTTGACTGAATTACATTTGTTACAGGAGGAGAGGAAAGATTCTGTTTACAGTTTCCCAGCCTTACCCATCATCTTGCAAGGAAACGAGATGAACTTCATATAATGAACTTTTGAGTTTCAAAGTGGATTAAATTTAGATTAGAATATAAAGTCTACTTTAAATGATGTTGAGCAATGTACGCAATGCAAGACTTGCCTAAAACCAAACATTCTTCCTCATCTGAGAGAAGCGAGGAATGCAGTCAGTCAACAGTGTGGCTGTGACTCACAGGGGTTAAAAAGCTGAAAAAACTCCATCTGTTATGCTTATGATTATTGGAATACAGCATCTATTGGATATTATTCAGGCAAAGTTAAAAGATAAGACATAAAAAGGAAGACAACCAGTCTACAAGGACAAACTTACTGTCAGGATCTGCTAGACATGGTGTATATCTTCCTTTGGGTTTACGTGAACCTGTGGAGAGACAAATGGCTCTTGTCCTTCTTGAACTTGATCGGGACTGAGGTTGGGGAAGAGGAATGTTGGGGTCTGGTGCAGTGTGAAATATCTGCATGATTTAAAAAAAGGGAAAAAATGACATTAAACAGAGGTACTATTACACTTCCATTATTAATCAATTTGTTTTCCTCACTGCTGTGCCTGAAATTAACACTGTAACAATCTCATACATTACGAAAGAGTAAATTCGCAGAATAGAAGCTTTGCTCTGATGTCATTTTACAACTCAAGAACCACAATACTGAGCTGTACTTAGTAGCTGTACTAATTATATATTTGTTGAAATAGATTTATTTTCTAGCCCTTGTTAGAAGGGCTTTACAGTTGAAATTGGAAAACAAAATAAGTGTTTACTACTGACTATTGCCTAAGAAGTAATATATTTTTTAAAATATTATGACAAGGTTGATTTTTTCTCTGTGTTCCAGTGAAAGTTTTCATATGTCACAGAAAAATGTCATAGTTGTAACTTACTACAATCCAGTTTGCATTTCAGAAAACCACTTTATTTGGCCAAACAAGTCAAGTTTGATGTGGAACAATTTTATGTTTAAGGTATCTCCTGGTTCTTATCTTTTACATGCCACTGCTACTACTAGTCAATGTTGCACTTCAGTGCTGCAGAAAAAAAATTTTTACCATGTTATACCAGAAGATGTCTCTGCAAGGATTTCTGGACCCTCTAGCAATAGGGCATTCCCTAAAGAGGATGAAGTGAACCACAAAAAGACACCTCCATGCCATTCACAGAAGTGGAAGAAAGCAAATATACTTGCACAGTAGGAAATACTTTAATGAAAATCTTGAGATGCTCTTGAAGTACATTAAAGCTGTATTAAGCACTAGTGAGTAGCAAATCAACATAAAAACGTGTCTGTAGCCACAGAAATAGAGCAAGGGAGACTGGTTGTATAGCAGTAGTCTTTGTATTGAATGAGCTTTTATTTTCTGGAGGGAAAACTCAATGTTGGGAAAATGCAATATATATTTTGGGAGTCAAAGCCAAGAAGGCTATCGGTATCATATCCACTTTGAGGAGTCCCTATGAAATACAACTGATGATACCAAGCCGTACTGTCAGTACTTACTGACCAACCAGTGCAGGGGATCCTGCTATTGACTGGGAACTGCCCCTTGGCTGAGTAATGAGTAATGAAAGAAACTAGAAGTTTTTTCACTTTGTCAGTCGTCAGAGAAGATGATATAGATGAACAGAGACCACCAAGATAAAATTTCTTTTATCAAGTAAAAGAGATCTTGACTGTTCTGCTGAGTTTTGAAATTAAACAGTTTAAAATTAAAAAAAAAACCTGAGGAGGCTTTTCAGTGAAGCTGATACCTGCAATTCATAAAATCATAGAATCATAGCATCAGTCAGATTGGAAGGGACCTCTGAGATCATGAAGTCCAACCCTTGATCCAATACCGGCATGGTTACCAGATCATGGCACTAAGTGCCACATCCAGTCTCATCTTAAAAGCCTCCAGGGACAGAGAATCCACCACTTCCCTGGGCAGCCCATTCCAATGTCTGATTACCCTCTCTGTAAAGAATTTCTTCCTAATACCAAACCTAAACCTCCCCTGGCACAGCTTAAGACCATGCCCTCTTGTCTTACCGATAGCTGCCTGGGAGAAGAGACCAACCCCCACCTGGATACAACCTCCTTTCAGGGAGTTGTAGAGAGTGATGAGGTCTCCCCTGAGCCTCCTCTTCACCAGGCTAAACAACCCCAGCTCCCTCAGCCTCTCCTCATAGGGTTTGTGCTTGAGTCCCTTCACCAGACTTCTTGCTGTTCTCTGGACCTGCTTCAGCACCTCAATGTCCTTCCTGAACTGAGGGGCCCAGAACTGGACACAGTACTCCAGGTGTGGCCTCACCAGCACTGAGTACAGGGGAAGAATCACTTCCCTAGTCCTGCTGGCCTTACTGTTCCTGATCCAGACCAGGATGCCATTGGCCTTCTTGGCCACCTGGGCACACTGCTGGCTCCTGTTCAGCTTCCTGTCAATCCAAACTCCCAAGTCCCTCTCTGCCTGGCTGGTCTCCAGCCACTCTGTGCCCAGCCTGTACTGCATGGGGTTGTTGTGGCCAAAGTGGAGGACCCAGCACTTGGCCTTGTTGAACCACATCCCGTTGGAATCAGCTCAACTCTGCAGGCTGTCCAGGTCCCTCTGCAGAGCCCTCCTGCCTTTCAGCTGATCAACACTCCCCCCCAACTTAGTGTCATCTGCAAATTTGCTGATGGTGGACTCAATCGCCTCATCTAAATCATCAATAAAGATATTAAACAGAACTGGGCCCAATACTGACCCCGGGGGACACCACTAGTTACTGGCCACCAACTGGATGCAGCACCGTTCACCACCACTCTCTGGGCCCGGCTCTCCGGCCAGTTCCTAACCCAGCACAGAGGGCCCCTGTCCAAGCCATGGGCTGCCAGCTTTTCCAAGAGTATGCTGTGGGAGATGGTGTCAAAGGCTTTGCTGAAGTCCAGGTAGACACATCCACAGCCTTTCCCTCAAACACCAGGTGGGTCACCTGGTCATAAAAGGAGATCAGGTTGGTCAGGCAGGACCTGCCCTTCCTAAACCCGTGCTGGCTGGGTCTGATCCCTTGTCCATCCTGTAGGTGCTGTGTGATTGCACTTAAGATGATCTGCTCCATAACCTTGCCAGGCACTGAGGTCAGGCTGACGGGCCTGTAGTTTCCTGGGTCCTCCTTCCAGCCCTTTTTGTAGTGATTGAAAGTTTAAGATTTCATGTGTTTTCCTTCTCAAGGCCTTCTTAATATTTCCAGGGACTAATCCCTAAGGATAGCAATGGTCAGAAAGACTCTGTTCTGATGCATTTAGAGTAGAATCTATGCATTCATCCAGAGTGAACCTCCATACACTGGTACCATAAGAGAGATGGAGGAGTTGGGAGCAAAGTTATGAGTTTCTCATTCTGTTTTTAGATTCAGGAGGTCACAACAGTCTTCAGAAAGCAACTGAAGAGTTAGAGCAACTCTTTCAAACCATGGGAGATTATGCCTTGGATCTGTACCTTGCACATCCACAAAAGACTTGTTAGGAATACAGATCCATAGCATGGGGTGGGAAGCAGGTATTATTTCTGTCAATGACCTTCTACAAATGTTGGACTCTTTATTCTTAAGAACTTAATGATGGTAATGAAAATGAGATCTTAGTTCCATTTCATAACCAAATAGTCAGATAATTTCTTTCTACCTTTTCATAATGCTCTATCAGAATTTCAACGACGATATTCTGAAACTTAATGTTCATCATAGCAGCCACGGTTTCTTCTTGGGCTCTCATCAGAGTTGGTCCAAAGATAACACCAAGGTTGGATACAGTCATTAGATTTTGCTGACTGTGCAATGATACCCTTTAAATAAACACAAAAAATATGCAATTAAATTGATTTGCTAAACTACAATTTAAACAGGCAAAACCCTAAGACTATTTTTTAACAAAATTACAAGTTCATGCCTCCCTTTTAAATACATTTTTAAAACTTCCACTTTTCTGGAGTCAAAATACAGTGTAGTACAACTACTATACTTCCATTAAGGTTCCTATCCTGCAATAGCTTAATAGTAATGAGCACGTCTTCCTAGAGTATTTCAGTTCCTGACAAAACTGATAGGAAAAGGCAGCTATATTTGGAGGTCTCCACAGAGAGATCCAGACCACCTAAAGTTTAGGAGTCTTAGAGCAGGCACCTATCTCTCCAATAGTTCTACAGGAATTTAAATACTTTATGTTGGATTGATTGAAACTAGTATGTGATAACAGAGATCAACCATATACCTTAGTTTTCACGTAAAGGAAAGAAACTTAGTTTCTGAAAATACTTATTTCGCAATGGGATCTCTTTATTAATATGATGAAAGCACAGAATCAATGCATTCAGTGAAATCATTGTTTCTATGAATAGATAACATTAGATGATCATAATGACATCTGGCTTTGAAATATAATAACCTTTTGCTTCTGTATATTCTGTTGTAACTTATTTTACCTCTTCTTTTTTTCTTCTTAATGTAGAATTCAGAAATTTAGTTTTACCAACAATTTATCAGATAGAAAAATGAAAACCATCAATCAGTAATCCTCAAAGCCTCTTCTCTCTCCTTACAAATAAGATTTGCCAAATAAAAGCCCTATCATCATAAACCCTTTGAAATAACTGCCAGTTATTTCAAAGCTGTCCTATTGCCTCATGTCTGAGGAATATTATGCCAAGTCAAGATTTTATAATTTCCTTAATGCTTAATTTTACTGCATCTGCTACCAAATGGAATTAGTTATTGAGGCACTTGGTCACACTTTCCTTTTCCTTCTCACTGCTATCTCCTACCATTGTCAAGCTGAGCATCTTCAGCAATTTCCTACACAATTAAATAAACTCTTGTACCTTTTAAAATGTAGAAACAGTAAAATCTATAAAACATTCCCCTCATATTTGGGATAGGAACATTTTAGCACCCCATTTACATCAAGAAGAAGGAGAAATATGGGAAAGGGGTTTGTACTGGAGGCAAGTAAAAAAATGCCTATCTTTTTACATGTTTCCTATGTTGCTTCATTAAATTATGTCAAAACTTCCCCAAATGTTACCTCAGACTAGCACTAGCAGAGATCATTATTTGGAAGCCATGTCATGAAAATGACTCCCTTGTTAAAGCACATTTTTAACCAATTATCCTAATCTAACTTTCTCT